CACCGTGGAAAATCGTCTTCATGGACTCGCAAAAGAATCTCTCACATTCTTCCCTGATCGAAAGTGCTGCCCCCCCTCGTCGACCCAGGCGCCGGCCTGGGATCTCGCGCTTCTTGCTCTTGGGCAGAAGGGCGAGCTCGTTAGACGAGGTTAGTGCGGCGAGGGGGGGGCTTGTTGGAGGGGAGGGGAGTCCTGAGGAAGGGACCTCAGGAATACCACTCGGCCCCTGTAGTAGAGTTAGTACCATGAGAAGGATTTGGCCCTGAAAGGAGAGAACATACCTGCAACCCCGGTAGTGCAGTAGTGGAGGCCCTTGAGGTTGGCGGCAGAGTCGACGAGGTAGCAAGAGGCAAGGACGTTGACCTTCTGGGCAGCGGCCTCGCCGTAATTACTACTGTAATTCAAATTCTGATTATTCATTGGCGCCATTTCTGATGATGATTTCGGGTTGTCGACTAGAGTTGATATAGGGCGGTAAGGGTCGAGGATGTTGATCGGCAGAAGTTGATTGATAGCGTGTCGTGAGATGACTCGAGACCAGCGGGTTGGAAATCCTTTTAAAGAAATCTGTGTGTTGTTCGCTTTGAGGCGAATGTGGAGGAATAAGTTGTGGAGACGTGCGGAGAAGTTTGCGACGGTGTTTTGAGCAATTCGTGGAGAATGTCTTGGATTCGTTGTATGTATGCGTGTAGATAGATGTAAGCCTAAGATCTCTCTCTCTGGTGTTTGGGCAGCGGTGAGGTTAAGTAAGAACGAGGAAGCAGAGGAACCCAGGAATTTGGTGACTTCGGGGCGCTCGGGGCGGAAGGAACAGTGCGCTTTGGGTGGACCCCTCACCTGAGGCTCTGGAATTGTGCACACCTCAGGCAGTCCACGGTCCACAGTCCACATCTCAGTGGACCTATCCGTACCTAGGAACCTAGGTAGGGATTGCCACCTAGGTACAATTGCAGTTGGAGCCGGGGTAACAATGGAACTCCTGGCCAAGTACGGCGTACAGTGCGACTATCTTATCTTGGCAACCACTGGTGTGAGGTAAGCCGAGGCCAACCAAACTCAAGAAATGGGTAGAAAGAATATGCAATGCCTGTTGCTATCGTCATTTTGTATCACATGATTAGACTCTATAGAATCGCTGCCAATGGGGTCGACTCAACTGGGTAGCAAGTTCATGATAATGACCATTTTGACTATTCTCAACTCATTTCTTGCAAACATGAATAATCTCAGCAACCTAAGCATTGTCTCGACTTGGCGCACTGTCTCGCACTAACTAATGCGAACGCCTCCGTAGCACATGGTCCAGTTTACTGGTTGATAAACACCAACCAGTTGTCAAGAGAGTGAAGGTCGGAGGCCGGATTGTAAATTGTGACTGAGGAGATTATGCAAAGCAGCCTATATGTATGCTCATTTCTTTAGCAGAGAGAATATCCCGTGTTAGTTATCCATGGCCACGAGTCTGATTCAGACGATAGTCTCGGAACTGAACTTGTCTGTCAGTGCGGCAAAATGTTCAAGCTCAGGAAGCTGATTGTCACAGGAACGAGTTGACTTTGTCGCTTGTCCTAGTATACCTACCTTTTAGCTTAGGTACTCCTCAATCTAATGGATATAGTGAAGTGAATTCCATTGGTATGCCTAGGTACCATGACAAACAACGGTATGGCAGAAACCTACCTACAACAGAGTCCATTTGTGTGATAATAATGCGTAGACTGTTGAGATGATTTGGGACCAACATGGCGCTCCTTTTTGATCGGTTTATTGCTTCTGACAACGGGGAGACCATACATACTCTTTTGGTTACACAGCACCGTTACGGCTACACACAACGTTTCCACCTGTGCCACACAGATCGTCGAATGTGTCAGCCACTCATGTCCGAAGAGTCTAGAATCCTCTGTAATCATCGCACAATACTCTGTACTAAGAGTTCCTTAAAGCGCTTACACAACAACCCACTCGCCTCCATTCCGCATTCTTACCATACAGCAATTACCTATTGTACTCTGTATTCGATTTTGGATGCTGCTGCTGTGCCACAATTGTCAATAATAACAGACGCATTGCGTGCTGGCTTTCGTCCAGATTTGCATGATACTGGCTCCGTTACAGCTTTTTTGTTACCCACAAACCCAGTTTATTCTACTCTAAACATCCACATCGCATCACCTGATTCGATCATGATTCTGTGGCCCAGCACATTTTGTCTCCAAATTCATGATTCCTTCCTCGCCTATTGAGAATGAAGGGATTGGTTTCAGGATACATTAGTACTTTCGGCCAACTGGACCTTAACAACGCATATGCATCTCCGAGCAGCCTAATTAACCCCCTTCTGTCGTGTAAGTTGATTGGTGGATGTGCCACTAATTACTACCTTGCCCAACCCCGCGTTTTGCTTCCATCAGCTACGTATCCGGACCGAGACCATCACCAAAAACATCCATGTTCGGCTGCATTTCTGCTGCAGCCAGAGACATGATCAACAATTGAGATACTCAATTCGATCCCTTGCGTTGTCCAGGCGCATCATGTCACTCACGAGACCAACGGTATGTGGAGACAGTCCAACAGAGTTTGACAATCGCAAACAGTATCACCAAGAGACAGCATCTTCTACAGAGCCATTTTAGTCGCAAAAATGCCAAAGCTCGAATTAGTCGACTCAGCAACAGCCAATGCCATAGGAGGAGGAATATCGCTTCCGTGCTACGGGCTCCGTGCTCCCTCAACGCTTCAGCCACCGTTGACTACCTCACCAAGTCTATCATCGCCTGTCCCTCCGTCTATACGCACCATTATGCCATGCTATCCTCAATGCCGTCTTCCAACCTCCAATTGCTCAATCAAGGCCGGTCTGCCATACCCAGCAATCCTGGCCAGTCCCTATCAATCACCCTGCCCTGGAGTACATAAAGAAAGACTACAGCCAAATGGCAATAACATAGTCTCAACAAGAAACCAGAACCAACGTTAATACTATCATACAGTGTACTTCACATCTCCCATGTCACATTTGTACTATCCTGAACACATCGTATTCCAATACTGCCTCAAGTCTCGTACCGTCATCCATGTCGTGCACTTAGGCTTGCGAACGCATCTGGGCTGTGTCGCCCATTTGTCCATGCAAGGTCAAGGCCAAGGTTCATGCTCTCTCTGCTCCTTGCAGCAAATGGGTCTGAAGTGGTCGCAGCATTTGGTTTACCAGCGACGCCAGAAGAAGGCGCACCGCTCATGAAAGGGTTCGTGCTAGATGATAGATGCTGCGGCACACTTGGTTGCTGCTGCACAGATGTCATTGGAGCTTGCAGGGGCTGGTTTTCTGGAATAGTTGGCTGCTGGCTGTATTGTACGGCCTGCTGAACCTGGTATGAAGGCTGAGCCGCGGCCAGGCCTGGCTGCTGTACCGTTGAAGGGTAGTTATTAAAAAGAGCCATAATCGAGGCCTTGTCTGGTCTTTGAGGTTGGTAAAACTGCTGCTGCTGCTGCTGGTACATTTGAGGCTGCTGTCCAGGGAATTGCTGTCCAGGCTGCTGCTGGACAAAGGGGTTGTGGCTTGCTTGAGGTTGGCTTTGCATCTGTTGCACGACAGGTTGTTGCGCAAAGATCTGTTGATTTGTTTGCGCCACAGGCTGACCAGCATTTGCAAAAAATGGGTTGGTGCTTGTTTCTGGGGGACTCAAAGGAGCCGGGCTTTGATACACGGCAGATCCCTGATAAACAGCTGCGTTTTGAAACGAGCTCTGCGTTTGCTCTGGTATCTGGCCAAGGCTTGGTGATGCGATTCGAGTTGGGGATCGAGCGAACGGATTGTGCCCAGCAGGTGCTTGGTTGGTATTGACTTGAGGAAAGGGATTAGACCCTTGTTGCGGCTGTTGCTGGATTGCATCTGTGGTGTTTGCTAAAAAGGGATTATATCCAGTCACCTGCGCTTGGACTGGCTGTGGGTATGTCATGTTGCTGGTGAAGCCCAGAGTTGAAAAGCCACTTGGGGTCGTCGGCGCTGACGGAGCCACTTGTTGATATCCTGTCGCCTGTGGTGCTTGCTGTGGTGCTGGTCCTCCAGTATGGTGGGGGAACAGAGGCTGCTGGGGGGAGAGAGACATGTTTTGGAATGCCTGGCTGAATGCATCTGTCGGTTGTTGCTGTTGAGCGGCTGGCACACCGAATGGGTTTGTCTGGCCGTATGGGTTCCGGTTATGAAGGCTTCCTGTCGACTGGGCCGTCTGGGGCTGAGCCGTTCCTAAGTTATCAAATGGGTTTGTCGAAGCACTTGATGGAGTAGCAGGACGGTCCGTAGCTGAACGGGCGGGAACACTAAGACCTGCGCCGAGTCCCAACCCGCCAGAACTTGGTGTCAGAGGCGTCAAAGACCTTGATGTTCGCAGAGTCTGTTCCCGAGGTGAAGGGGTGGGAAGAGGTGAAGGTCGGCCGCTACCCTCACCCAAACGCACAAGAGTCTCAATCGCTCGCTCGATGTTGCCATTAACACCTTTCAACACCAGAGTATTGCGTTTGGTGTCCTGAAATCCCATGTCTTGTAGCCTAGCCAGCTTCTGCTCCATGTCATCCGGTTGATCAAGATCCAAGGTGGCGCCGAACACTTTTGATGGCTTGTTAGGAGGTCTTGGAGACTCACTACGTCCACCATGTGCAGCTGTCATGGTTTTGACATCCTTCTTCGACTTGGACGACAGGGGGAAAATAGATGAAGCTGAACGGAATCCGAACTTCGAGTTCTTAGGCGGCAGTGGCGGAGGAGTCCCTTCGCCTATGTGAGGAGATCTAGGCTTTCCTGTTCCACTGACAGTATTATTCATATATTTCTGTCTGATGAATCGTTCCATGGCAGAATCCGCTTCGTCAGCGTCGACCGGGACGGGAGGTTTGCGATGCTCGGGGTTATAAATGTTGTTGGATGTGATATTTCCGACCTTTCTCATGTTCTGTAGACAGTGTAAGCTATTTGTTATCTTTGGGCACGATCGCCGGGTCGTTGTTGTTGGTGCTCACGTCGACTTGCTCGTTGGTCCAACTATCCATGCTCAAGGACTTTACTTTGGAGATGTGAGTACCCAACTTTCGATGAATCGCAGCACATCTCATGCATAGGAAAACGCCTAACTAACAAACATATTAGTATTCGATCAGTTCCTGGATGCAGTAGAGGGCCGTACACTCCATGATGCCCAAGCTGATATTGACAATTGACGTTAGCAAATTCCGGCCATCTCGTATACCCGGCGCAGGATGAGCTTGGTAGTGCATCTGGAGCATACCTGGATTACGCGCGTGGCAGTCAGCGCACATATTATTGCCCGGGGTGTTCTGCACAAGATCCTGCAGGGCCTTTTCGTTCCGCGCCTGCTGGCGCTTGCTCATGATACTCGACATGGTGGTGGGCCTTGATAGATCAAGTTTTCGGTGATCTCTAAAGATGTGCAGTACCAAAGGAGCCTGTCTCGCAGTGTAACCGTCTCGAGTCGTTCGTAGGGCTCGTGCAGGACAAGTGCAGTGATCGGGGTCTGGAGTACGGAGGCCGGAGACCGGGACGGGGGTTGTCGACGGGTACCAGAAAGAAGCAAACAATTAAGTAAAGTAGATATCGCGGATGAAGAAAAGCACTTATTACCAACAATGCAGGCGAAAGGAGGGACAAAGAAGAAGCGATGCAATGCGAGGCGAGGCGGCTCAAGTCGTTGATGGGTTTGAAAAGAAGGAGATGAAAGGATGAAAGTTGACCAAGAAAGGGTACTACTTCCTTTCTGTTGCGCCGTGCGATTCAGGTCACAGCGGTAGGTACCTTGAAGACGGACGGGATGCAGGTGCGGGAAGAAGCACTTGCCACACTCTGGCTCAGCGTTTCAGTGATTTACTGTGAA